ATTTTTGTCACATCTTCTCGGCCTTCTGAGAACATTTTGTACCACCGATAAACGTTGCTTCGGTCCAAGGTACCTTCTCCGTATGCCACAGTCAACATTCGGAATGCATCCGCGCACTTAATTTCGTTTTTCACACAAAATTTAATATAGGTTTTTTGATCCGTTTTTTTGAATAGGTAAAAATCGAAGCCGATCCAAAACACGTGCAAGCAAAGCAGCTTTCAACAATTAAATGAACATTCAAAATGGCCGAGCTTGTCGGCATAAGTGAGAGACATGRGTACCAACATAACGCCACAAAAAATTCGAAATTCGAATATACGTAACCCGCGAAAATTCAAAATTCGCGATACTTTTTGAACACACCTCGTATTTATGAATCTTAGTAGAAATGATGATGGAATTCTCCATATTAGTCGTTTGTAACGAAGGGTATTCTAAGATACTTAGTAAGTTTTCTTTCCTACCCAATAACGCGGATTTTCGAAATTCTGGGACGTGGTCAGGGTGGTCAAGACACAGGAATAAGCCATTTACCATACGAAATGCTCGAAAGAGTAATTGAAAATTGGACTAAAGGGTTAGATCAGCTGGGACGAAGACGCGGCTAACATTTGAAAGAGATAATCTTCAAAAAATGAACGCCAAGGAATTTTCTTTCGAATGATAATAAACATTCCCCAATATATTTGAAGTTTCTGTGTTCTTTCTTTAAAAGAAGTAGTGAACCTCAAAATGATTCACTTTTTACATATAGAAGCTGTTTTGAACAATAACATTTGTAGAGTAGAAAATTTTGAAACATCATAAATAAATTCGTATATAAATTTCAATCTAATGAAGAGATATTCCTAGAATTCGACAAATATGTACAAAAGAATTATTAATTTAAATTAGTTGAATTTTTTTTTCTATTCAAAAATGCTTTGATATGAAATGTGTTTTTCAGAAGTATGGCTATTATTTAATTTAATTATAAACAAGTTAGTCCAGCTGTTCAAGCTATCGTCCTGCCAAATTAAAAAAAATATACATAATATTACACAACTTTTCTCAAAAAAAAAAAAATATTCATCCAAACATGAAATTAAGATCTTTAAAGAAGCTTGCAAACAAATGCCGGCACGAAATTAACACATATTGAAAAGCAATTAATACAATTTAATTTTCGCACCCGAGCAACGCACACTTGTTGACATACCAAAAAATAATTATAATAATACCGCAGCCCAACTAGAGATATATTCACACCTCATTCACACCAAGCAGCGTCTAACACGCCTCCCCAGCGCCAGCCCAGCCAAAATATTTCAAAAAAGCGAAAAGCCAAAAACAGTAAAATCTAGCAGAACAAACACTAACAATTATGCCGGAGCTAAGCCGAAGCTTAAATTATGGCAACATATAAGTCTATTCATAAGCGAGTTTCTAGCAGCTATTACAGCAGCCTGGTCGCCGTATTGGCATGTTTTGGTTAGCCGGCACAAGCCTTCAAAATAACACATGCGCTTCGTACGAGTGTCAAGCGTACATACATAGGTACATAGGTATGAGTGTATGTACTTACGTAGGAGATATACATATGTATATATACGAGGTATATACTATACGCGTACGTGTGAACTTTATTGTTGCTGGCGGCATATTCGTTTCGCTGCCCAAAACAACTTTTGCGCCTGCTGAGGTGTGAAGCTGTTTCAGTTTTTTTTTTTTTTTTGTATTGCTTTGTAATAATTTTGATTTTTTATTGTTATTGCAGTTGCCTTAATTACGATAACAGCGCCTACTTTGCATCGTCGTGGACATTAACAAAATTACATTAGCGATCGATTTGCTGGCATTTTTCGATTTTCTTTATTTATTCTTTTTTTTACTTTTACAACAGCTCGGTTTAATGAGATAAATATTCGGCATAAGTATACGCGAGAGAGTACTATTATGGCACCTTGATGTTTGGAGCTATTTTATGCAACTATTTGAGTTGTTGGTGTATGCTGTAAAGCGATGTAATTTAATTTTTTTTTTTAAATCTGCAAAAAATCAAATTTTTAGTTTTTTTTACCTTCGTCCAAGTTTTATTTCTCAGAATTTCGTTGTTTAAGGTGTATATTTCTAACAATAAAAAATTTTAATAAAATATTTAATTTTTTATATGAGAAAGAAGTTGTTGAGAAAAGGCTGTATTTTACCTTAGGAAACCCATATACCCGCTTAAATCATTAGCAACAAATTATTCACGTAAACGAAAGGTTTATACATCAGCATTTCATATTATCAGCATTTATGTGTCTAAATAGTCTGACATTAAGTCAGCTGTGGTGTTGGTTAAGCAATAATTATTTGGATTTCCATATTCATAAGTTTTTCAAGCGTAAAGAGATGACTTCATTTGTAGCATCTTCGATTATGCATAATTTTAGTCTACGGTTTCAAAGAAATGTTAACATGCAGTTTAAATCAAAGAGCTTTTTTGAAAATAGTTTCAGCTGCATTGTTAGGATAGGATAGGCTAGATGGCTGATCTAGAGAGATCGCTCATGGACTGCTATATGGAGTCCATTGCGAAAAAGAACTCTTGTGTTCGAACTTATAACGCTTTTAGCCAATACGAATTTCCACAAACGTTTAAAAACGTATTTGGCATAGCATAAAACCACAAAACGGTGATTCCAGGTTTTATGTATAAGAAATATATGTATATCGTCACCTTAAATGCAAAAATAACGTTTCATCAAAAAAAATGGAAATTGAGATTTTATTTCTTACGATCCACTACATCATATGACATATTGTAGCATACAATTTTCAACAGCCGCTGTCAGATATAACCAATATATAACCACTTTATAACCAAAACTCAAATTTTGTATCAATATATGACACACCTTCGCCTGTAAACCTATGAAAAGTGATGTTACGTTGTTTTGCATTTTAGGTGACGATATATAAGGGTGCTAAAACGACATCACCCATTTTTGAAATTGTACAAAAGCAAAGCCAGCATAAATTTTAGATTTTTATTTAAAAATTTCTCTGCTATTACTTAGAAAACATTAGCGAGGAAAATAGCGAGTGAATCTGGATAGCTTTCAACAGTTTTGAAACTCTAAGCCGTTATGTGTAATTTATTCCTATATTTATACCCTGAGCTGGGTGTATTAAGATGGCCATGATATTTTCAACAGCTAAAAACGAAGCGTCTGAGACTCTATTAATATATACATACATAATTGATCAGCCTCACGAGTTAGTCCATTTCGCTGTGTCAGTATGTCTATCCGTCCGTTTGTCTGTGGACTATATGCGTATTAGTTCTTTAGTCTATAAGCTATCAAACTGAAATTTTTCACACGTCCTTTTCTCGCCTAGAAGCTGCTCATTTGTTGGAAATACAACGTTCGGGCTACTATAACATATAGCTCCCATACAAAGTGAATGATCGTAATTAAGTTCTTATATGAAAAACTTTTTTTATTTGAGATGATATTTTCACGAAATTTGGCGTGGATTATTATCTAGAATAATGACGTAATCTCTACAGAAATTATTCGCATTCAGGCACTATAGCATATAGCTGCCATACAAACTAACCGATCGGAATTAAGTGCTTGCATGGAAAACTTTTTTATGTGAAGAGATATCTACACGAAATTTAACTCGAATTATTCCATAAACCAACTATACAATATATGAAGAAATTGTTCCGATCGGACAACAACAGCATATAGCTGTCATACAAATTCGATGATGAAAATCATATTCTTGTATAGAAAACTTTTTTATTTCACAAGATATCTTTATGAAATTTGGTACGGATTATTGTCCAAGGCAACTCTATAATCTCAGCAAAATTTGATCAGATCGAATCACTATAGCATATAGCTGTTATACAAGCCGATCGGTCAAAAATAAGTTCTTATATGGAAAACTTTTTCATTTGCCAAAATATCTTCATGAAATTCGGCATGGATCATTGTCCAAGGCAACTCTATAATCTCCGAAAAAAATGCTCAGATCGCATCACTATAATACTCGTATATAGCTAGCATACCAACTAAGCTGATTAGCATCGAGTACTTGTAAACAAGCTTTAGTATTTGGAAAGGATATTATAGTTTTATGCAACCGAAGTTGACGTTTTTTCTTATTTAAAATGTACTTAAGAAAGCATTCAATAGGTCAGCGCGTTTAAAACATTTTCACACTGTCAGATAACATTATATATTGCTATCAGTTCGTCTTTGCCACTAAAATGTGGTGAATATTCCTTTGAGTTGTCTTCAAAAGTAGTAAAGTGCACGCTTAATTAAACTACTAACTGCTCGATTTATTAAAATTTCGTGTTAAAACGAAGCTTATAGCAACATAAGCGCGCAAACGCTTTCTTACAATAACAAACAGCAGCAATTTTGTATAGACTTTTTACCAAACCACTTTCAGATTTCCACAAACACACAACGTATCTTTCACTGGCAGCAAACACAATGCATTGGAATTGATATATGATTGGGTTTTTGTAAAAACAAGGCTACACACACACACGATTGAACTGCAGGAACTTCAACTTTCCGTCGCTGGGGCGCATGCGTATGCCAAGCACGCAGCGGCTGTCAAGCCAGCAGCAACGGCGGCAAATATACATATACTTTCACATGACAAATTCAAACAACAATTCAACAGTTTCAAAGCACATATGCCCACTTGTTGCATGCAACCATGCGACACGGCACACAAAGCAAAAATACTAAAGCATTGAATGCGCTAAACCAGAATTTTACACACCAGGAGCACACACAGAGCGGGGTCAAAAGAAAATATTTATCGAAAATCTAAGAAAAATGGTAAATATTATTTTTTTTTTTTTATTTATACTATTATACCGGAGTCGATGGCCAAAGTAGCTTGTACTCCCTTCTTACTATTAGGTTTAATATTTTGTATTATTATTATTTTATATATATATATATTTTTTTTGTTATGAAAGTTGTGCGTGCATTTACCATTTATGTTGCACCAACGTTGCGGCAATTTGTAATCCTTAAAATGCAAGCGTTCACCAAAGTTGTTGTTGCTGTGTTGGAATTTGTTGTTATTGTTGTTTTATAAAACGTTTTTAATATTGAAATCTTTTAATATTTATTCAACTGACACTTGCTGACTGCAAAGGCACTTTCATAGAAACAAACATAATTTCACTAACGCAACGGTATTCAAAGCACTACTCCGGCGCTGCTAATTTCTAATTGTATCGAGCACATATGGACATGGCTTTCTAAGCATATATGTGTGTACCAATATTATTTCAGATTTTGCTTCTAAGCGCTGCGCCGCTTACAACACTTCAGCGTCGCTGCGTAGGGCGTACGAATATGCAACAAACACATGACGTTCACACATTTTATTTGAAACATGAATTAATAGATATATATTTCCATGCTATATATGTATGTATGTGTGTAGACGCGTGCACTTTTTCAAAGAATTGCAAAAGGAATTCACAAAATCATAGGCGTGTATGCAACCATGTACATATATATTTCACAATGCGCTTGCAAATATCTACTTCCGCACAATGCCGTTGGCAATTTTTACACAAAATATCAAATTATCAAAATTATATATATTTTTAGTGATTTAGCACTACTCGCTCACTTTTAGTATCTTCCGATTCTTCAGAAAACCTCACAGAATTATTTCAACTTTGCATTTGTAAAATTAAAAACTGAGAAACTCCACGAACGCGTCTCAGTGCGCACAAAATCCAAAAATTCGACGAAACACGAAACGTCCGCGCAACGCTGCTACACAAAATCGCGGTCGTAACAAAACTGGAGAGACTTCGAGCTGTTGGAGTGCGTGTCGGCCGGAATGGAGGTGTTCAGATATGGCCAACTGGCAATTTGATTGGCGAGAGAGCGCCAGAACGTTGGCTTAAGACGAAACAAATAAGACGCTCACTCCCACTCTCTCAACTGCTGTCGCTCTCACTGACAGCCGAACTCTCAATTAGCATTAAGGCTGGTTGCTGGTTGCAACTTGCAACAGACACGTATTTATGCGGACACAGAAAAACAACAATTATAACGAAAACAACAAATATAAGAAAAACAATAAATACAACAAAAATAAAAAAACACATGAAATACAACAAAAACAACACAAAAATTATAAAAAAGTATAAAAAAGCCAACAAAAATAGCAAATACAACAAAAAAAAATAAAGAAAAGCAAAAAATTCAACAACAGCAGAAAACAGCAAGAATAACAAGCAACACAAACAAACAAAATACAACAACAACAACTGTGCGCCATGAAGGCAACCAGCGCACAACAAATGCAGACATTTTTGAATGCAGCAACAACAACTACAAAGCAGTGAAGACATCACGCGCAAAGGCAACGAGGACAACAATAGCAACAACAACAACAACGGTAGCGCCAACAAAAATGTCCACACACTGTTACTGTTGGAAAAGCTGTCCAGCAAGATCATTTACAATTTACAACGGCCGCACACTAACAACAACAAAAACTGCCAACAAGAACATACCATTTGGAGCGATGGACTCTCACCAAATGTGGCAACTTGTTTTGGGACACAGCTCAACGCTCATTAGTACTGAGCGCGTAACTAAATAATGGCCAACAAAAAAAGAAGTAAACTGCAAATGCATCAAAGGCAACACAGGCAATAAGAGTAATACAGAGCGCAAGCGTAAATCTCATCGCCGCCGAGCGTGCACTTGCATTTGAGTGCAAGTAGAAATGTGTGCGCGCTCAAGTTCTTGCCACAAGCGCTAGAACAGGACTTGCTATGCCAGCGCATTGGAGAGCAGACAGGCTGCGTACCTGTTCAGCTCGGTACTTCGGTACTTACATACAGGTAAAACCAGAAATTTTCACTTGTTTTTCCAAGTCTCACTTTTCATTTTCGCTCGCATGCTCGCTCTTTCTCTCTCTCTCGTTGCTACCGCTTAAGTATTATATTTTCTTTCGGCGCGTTTGGCTTGGTCAACAAATTTTGTCTTCTACCGAGCGTTAGAATATAAAAATTTTATGCCATCATTTTTTATCAAACGAATGGTGTAATATTAATGTGATAAAAATCAATAGTCGAAATCATTTCGATTGTGTATAATAATAGTCAGACAGATAGAGTTTGAGCAGGTGTTGACCGCACTGGGTACGAAGTTGTTGATTAAAACAAGTTTCCTATCCAAAACTGTTGGAGCTTGCTGTTAATATAGGTACTCAAGACTTTGATAAGATGATTAGTAAATTACTAGTATTTAGAAGAAATCTTACAGCAACATGATTAGACATCGAGTTGAGGTCTAAACACTGTCTGCGATTAAACTATAATATCCTACACAAATAGAAAATATTCCTTAAAGAACTTGATTTTGATCGTGCAGTTTGATTTGAACCGCTCAGTTTGTATGGCAGCTATGAGCTATATTAATCCGATCCGAAAAAAATTTTTAGGAAGTTATACCTTTGCTTTAAATAGTAATAACTGCAAAATTTTGTGAAGATATCTCGTCAAATGGAAAGGTTTTCCATAGAACTGCATGATTTCGAGATTTCGATCGTTCAGTTTGTATGGCAAATATATGCTATAGTGATCCGATACCAACGGTTCCGACATCAGCTTTTTGCGGAAAAAAACGTGTGCACAATTTCAAATAAATAATATAACTCAAAAACTGAGGCACTAACTTGTGTATATGCAAATATGCAGACGAAGAGACATACAATAGACCGTCCATGTCCTAGCTATGTCCAAATCGGCTCAGCTCAACAACGTATTCGAAAAAAAAATTGTAAGTCGCTGTCAGATATAATATCCAATATATAACCACATGTTAACTAATATATAACCAACTTATAACCAAAACTCAAATTTTGTTTCAACAGGAGTGGTTTCTATTAGAACGTTTTTCCTCCGCCTGTAAGCTTATGAAAACTGATCTTAATATATAACCATATGATAACCAATAACCACTTTATAACCAAAACTGAATGTTTGTTTCAATAGGAGTGGATTTTTGGACGGTTTTTTTCGCCTGTAAACTTCTAAAAAAAAAATTTTATTTTGCATTTTAGGTGACGATATGTACACACAGCCTATAGGATATCCGACGTTTCCCTTTGGGTATCATAAACGCCGTGGCAAACTTAGTACACCCAGTTCAGGATATAAAAATATTTCAGTAGCCTTTGAAAGTTCTGACTCTACTGAAGCTTCAACAGAGAAATTGTTTCATGGACTGTGACTTGAATCGAGGGAAATTGTAGTTATTTCATATAGTACTAACTTTAAAGTATGTTAGTATAAGGAATGAACTCAACATCTCTTAAACATTGCATACATATAGGCAACTCAGTTCCATTTCTATCTTTATAATGTTGCCTACATCTAGGCGAAATATTGATTAATTACTTCTCTGCTGTGATTTATCAAAGACCTATAATCCAGTTATGACTTTATTGACCTATAATCCAGTTATTTATGACTTGAAAATTGCTCAGTATTTATATGACTGCATTATTAAAAGTGTTGCCTACATTTAGGCAAAGCATTAATTAAGACGTAACTCTCCATTTAGTGTCTACACACACCTTGTACCATTGCAAAACAAAAAAAATTATTTCGACACTTTAAGTAAACAAAACAAGCATTTAATAAGTAACGGTTAATTTAAGCCGTAACACATTTTCAACTTTCGAGCATGCAACATTATATGCAACGAGTTTTCAAAATGTTGCCTTTTTGTTGTGACAACCGAATTACGCTTTTCTTTGCGCTCACACCAAATTAACTGCCATCTTTGCTTTCGACTTTGCTCGCAATTTGTAAATTGTGCAATTATTTACTTGCTCTCGCTCCTCATAATCTAAACGCTTGGCTCTTGGACGCTATGAGAGCGCGGAATATTTCCTGTAGCCGCCGGCAAAATATACATATACCAAGAGTTAAAAAAGTAATGTTTTTGTATAATTATTGACTTGCAGGTTGTAATAGAGTTGGAACTGTGTAGAAAACAAAGCAATGAGCGACAAAATGCAATGTCTTGGCAGGGAGCAGCTAACTGAAAATTCTTTCAAAGAAATTTTTACTTTTTTCGCTGAGCAGCGCAAAATAACTTAGCAAACAAATGCTGCAAGTAAAATTAAGCGAAGAGCGCCAAGCCTGATTCTTTTACGTTTTGTTGCTTTTTGTGCTGTACTCTTGAATGTCATTAAGTGGAGAGCGAGTGTTGATCGTGGCACAAGGTTCGGTGTGTTGATTGAGGAATACAGGAAAACTGGTTTCGAATTAAAATTATCGATGCTCATTTTTTAGTTTGCTACGCTGCTATGTTGCTGCTGCTGCTGGTTGAACTCCTTTACTTCTGCTTATGTGTGTGCGTGTTTATGCTGTTTTTTGTTTTGTATTTTTTTGTATGGTGATTCCACATTTACCTTGGCTTGGCTTTAGACCTACCTTTCGTACTTTTGTTGTGTTCACTGTAGTTGTTATTGCTGCTATTATTATTATTGTTTTGCTATTCTTCTACGGTTTGGTCACTTTTTAAAGCGTCTTTTTTGTCTATGGCTTTGTTGTTCTTTGCCTTTCGTATTGGTCTCAACGGTAATATACATATGCAGATATGTATATATAGTCAAGATATGTATATAATATGTTTACACATATTCCTTGCACGTGGGCTTATACTTTGCTCATACTTATTTGTATATTAATCTATACAAATACAAACAAGTATAGTATATATTGCATATTCATATACACATATGTAAAATATTGAAATAGAGACAAATTATGAAGAATATTGCTGAAATGTCTAAGAAAATATTTTAAGTGTGCAGAAAAGAATTTAGAAACAAATCAATATTAATGTTAACTTGGCTGCACCGAACACCGAAGCTGTAATACCCTTCACAGGTACATTTCTGACAGCATTAAAAGAGAATATCTCTTTCTTGATTTTGATCGATATGTTTGTATGACAGCTATATGCCATAGTGATCCAATCTGAACAATATGTTCAGAAATTCTAGTCTTGCCTTAGGCCAGAACCACTATAACAAAGTCTGCGGGACGACTACTAATTGCAGGAGAATTATCATAAAGAACTTTCGGGCGTAATGGCGATTCGGCTAGCAGTCGGTGATGATGTTCAGGATAAACATGCTTGTTTAAAGATATTTTACCTACACGCACTTTAAACATTTATATGGAAGGCAACATTTTAAGTTGCCATACTACTGTGTTATATTTCTAGCAGAGATTTTTGTTAAGGGAAAAGCAGCGAAACTAGCGGAACTAACTATCGATCTACACGGATGCAAAACTGCAAAAATCACGTGTAAAACGATAGATCGGAAATATGCAAAGTTCCTACTGGACAGAACATGATTGAAATACTCCCTGTCTTGCAGAATAGAGCTGACAGATTTTTAGGAGCAGGGCACCAGAAAAGCAACGCTTAAAGCATTTAGAGAGCCAAAGATATGAGACACTGGAAAATTTATCCTTAGTGAGACTACAGGGTCTGTCGAAATTCGCATCAAGCGCCTTCTTAAGGAAGCCCGTCACTCTGATAATTTATACAAGTCTCCAACGTATCACTGTGTGTCGGGAAAGGTCTCAGACTTAGAAACTCCTCAGAGGCGAATCTAATATATCCTGTCAAACTCTCAAGTCCTAAGAAAAACGTACGTAGGCTCTTCAATAAGACGATATGTGCGGGGCTCTTGAAGAAATATAAATATAAGTAAACCTATAATAGTAAAGAGTTTA